AATTCTAAACTTGGCAAATGAGGAGAGAAAGATTCTCTGAAAAGGGCACGTGATTACACAGGTTTTAGTCGTTTGACCACTAAAACAATGTGTGTTTTAAGCCCTTTAAGTGGTTCCTCTTTCTTTGTTTTTATCTCTCTCTTTCTCTCTAAAAGTGTGTGTTCAAACTCGTAAAACCACATTATATACGCAGAAACATTCATTCAATCTCATTTATTACCATCATTAACTTGTTTGAATGCATTTCTTTATTCCATTTTGAATTCAGAAGCTATAACTATTTAATTACTGTACGTTAGCAGCATCCATTGATCATTGCATTTTTACCATGTTGACTGTATTGGTTCTCTACAAAGACAATGATCATCCTAGTTTACGAGGAACTTATTCATGCTTCTTCACTATGTTGATTGACTGATCTGTCACCATTTATTACGCTAATTTTTATTTTTTATTTTTATTTTTTGTTTTGTATAAAGAAAATAATGCTAGTATATGCTTTCTAATACATAATGGCACTCGTTGAGAAAGCTGGCTGGTTTGCCAGAATCAAAATGATTTCCAGGAGCGTTTAAATTAAGAATAGGCATCATTCAATTTGCAAAATGGTAGGGAAACTTGCACATATATGCTTTGCTAGCTGATCACACTTACACAAAGTAGTAGGCCGATTTTCCTTTGAAATCTTTTGAAGCTTTGGTTCGATACACCCATGCTTTTCCAGGGGAAAATATAATGCCGCTGGCCTATTTGCCTTAAAGCCATTTTCCCTACCTTCAAAAGTTACGTTTATTATACCCAAAAATAAAAAAATGAAGCAGAAGATTGGACCATGCATACCACCTACCCACATCTAGAGAAAAAAGATGAAGCTATGTACTGTTTACATGATGTTATTAATTAGGCAAACTTGTTAGCATGGTATCCTTGCAATTATCTACGATCGTCACTATTATTGTTCCCACAATGCTTGTTTCCTTTCTTTGGAATTACATTAGTTTATAATTCTCAGAAAAATAGAAAAATGTTGATCACTAGGATGGAATAAGTAAAACCCACACACTATTGATTTCCTTACATGAGCTTCATGAAATTGGAAGCTCGTAATAGGGTTTATTTTAATTTGAGTGAGGTTAATGATGGTGTGAAGAAATTAAGAAAAGAAGAAAGTGTTGATGAAATTAAATTACTATACAGTATGTGGCATTTGCAGTGAGGATGAGGCCCAAGTTCCAAAAGAGATTGATGACTCCAACTGGGATTTTTTTTTTTTTAAATTTATATATACTCCCATCAAAAAAAAAAAAAAAAAGAACAACTTTCATCATTTCAACTCGCGCGGCCACTCCACGAATAACATCTTGCCATGTGGATTCCAATCATCTAAAATTTTGTTTTTCCTTTCATTTTCCTAAGAAAGGGAAATGCCAATGAAAAAAGACGTATTAATAAAAGTGGGCCTATTTTGGCACAATTCCGAACAAAAAGGGGGGTTTCAAATGATCATTTTATTCATATCAGAGTTCAATGATCATATTCATATCATATAGTAGCTAGCTTTCTTTTGATCTGATGTTGTGTGCCACTCCATTCCGCTTGGTTATAAATTTATAATTAACCTTTTTTCCTTTGTCAAAAGAAGAAGAAAGCTTAATTTCAATGACTTAATCAAGCTCAATTCTCTTTCTTCTCGTTTCAAAAAACAAAACAAAAAAAAGAAAAAGAAAAAGAACCATGTTTAAATGGTAATCTGGCTGAGTAAATGAAGTGTGCTTTCCCATATATATTGCTTTGGAATCACTTTAGTAGAAAATTAAAAAGGGGAAGGCAACAGAACAACCTATCCCTAAAAGGGCTTTCTAAGTTGTACGTTTGTTATGGTTCTTGTTTTTGTGCTTTTTGCTCATCATTTACTTGATTATATTCAAATAGACGCTCCATTAAACATCTCTTTTCCACTCAATCGGGTTAAGACCAGTTTAAAAGTGAAGAAGATAATGATGAAGTTCCAGGAAAGAGAGCAACATTTTGAGGCCGAGTAATATTAATTTACTACTTCTTCTTGAAAAATATAATTAATTAAGCAGATAAAGGCTACTCTTTTGAAGTGTTTTTGGTTTGTTTTCTTGTCCTCCCCTTTAAATAATCTCTGCTTATGATTGTGCTTAACTTTGTACTTCCATTGGGTCATGAAAAGTACACAAATGCTGCATTTGAAGAAATTGTTACATTGTCAATTTGAAACCTGAGTTTTGCTAACACAAGTATCAATTTGACAAGATCAAGCATGCATAGAGACAATTGATCAACCCATTGACGTATACAGAGAGAATAACATATATTGGTTGTGCAGCAGCTTTATAGTTGAAAACCCCTACTACAGCAAGCCTGGTGATTGGAAGTTCGCAGTAAATTTATCACACACACACACACACACACACACACACACACACATATATATATATATATATATATCAATACAATGCTTGCAGGAGCACAAGGTATGAGATGTAGAAATCATCAAGTCAGCCCGTTCAAATGTCTAATTAGTGTGGGGTTTTTCTTTTTCAAGAAAAAAAATAGGAAAATTAATGGGACTAGTCAAGAAGTAAACTGAAAACAGTGTAAATGGGACGTATCAAACCGATATTATCCTTTACCGATCACCTTTTAACAGAATGGACCAAAAAGTGTTGATTGTCAAAAAAGAAACAAATGTACACACATCTATACACACACACACACACATGCAACTTTGATACACACCAATTCCATACATCAATCTCTAATCCCATCATGTAGAAAGTAAGGAATAAAAGACCCCACGTGTGGATATTGGTTACAAAATAATTAGTGCAAATAGTTTTCAAACTTTATGTGAAATGTAGGGCTGATATTATATATGTATATAATGCTTGGGATTCCTACAATAAAAATGGAGAGTGTTTTTCTTACTTTCTGAGGTCATAAGGTGTCTTGATTTTCCATCTCTACATGGCTTTTCCTGCAAAGCACGCTCTCCTTAAAGAAAAAGGTTTTTTGAGAATCCTATGTCGACCCATTGCTATATTCCCAAATACTTGTCTTTTCATTTTTCTTTTTAACTTATTACTCTTGCTTTTCTGATTGATCCACCAGCTCCTCTCTTGTGCATCCCCGCCCACCTCCTAGTTTGATTTCGTCTTCCTTTAGTCGTCTACAATTGTATTAACTCCGTCTCAAAAAAATAGTTCACATTGAGTTTCAAATTTGTATTAAAAATAGTACAAAACTTAAAACTCAATGTGGACTATTTTTGTGGGACGGAAAGAGTAGTTTTTTTTTTTTTTTTGGTCTAAAATTGTACTATATGTATCAACAACCATATGTCACCAGTGAGACATTTCAGTTTTTGTTAAAAATCAAGTCTACCTAGTTTATTAAGATTAATAATAAACAAATAAGCTACCTTCCATAGATATAACACAATTTGACAGCTTCATCCTCTGTCAACCCTTACACACTTGATCATCAGTGACCAACTTGACTAGCATCATCTACATACTTATTCAAAATAAATAAGCTAGCTCTTTTTTTGCTTCTTAGAAAATTGTTTTCTTAGTGCCTCGAGAGAACCCACATTAAGAATTAAAAACAAAAAAAAAAAAAGAACGAAAAAGAAAGAGGAGAAATCAGGAAAATAAATGGATACTATAATTTAGTGTCAGCATCCTCATAACCCTTCCTGTAAAATTAGTACCTATCAGAGTTCAGTAAATCATGATGTCCATATACCTAGAGTGTCAGTAAATAGATAGGTTAAGAAAGCAAACATTTGTGGAGGAGCTCTGCATCAAATGAAAACAAATTAAAGTATGCAAAAGGATATTGTTGTTTAAATATTACTAGTAGCTTCCATGCCTGGCAGCCTAAGTAATTATAGAATTTATTTGAGGGGCCTGGAAGAGATATGATCTGCAAGAAGGATATCTAAAATAAACCCCCCAAGTCAATTTGTTCACCAATTATAAGAATCATTTCTGAGGAATGCTTTTGAAGAAAGTAGCCTACAATGTACTTTATGGCATTGGATTCACTGTTACATTCATTTAAACTGCATAATATTTGTCATGGAAAAAGGGTATCAGGTTCCTAGCCTGCAAAGTTCAAAGCCTTAAAGAGATATATCAGGATGTACAACATTCCAATAACCTAAAAATGGGTCATCTTCTTTAACATCTTTCAATAAAGATGTAAGGAAATGGATGAATAAAACCAAAACTAGAATGGCCTGCTCTGTTACAGCCATGACTAGACACCACCAAACTCTCAATTTGTGACAGATCATACAATTTATACTTTTCTGCTCAAACATCATTTAGAACAGAAAAAAAAATGAAAAGAATAAGCCATTGATAAACGGTCAAAAGTCCCAATGAATAAATAACCCCAGCTCTGTTCCATTTAAAGCTTTCAAGTTGGTCCAGTTTCACTTCTATTCTTTTAATTCATCCGCCCCAGTGTGTAGGGAACATGAGCAGAGCTTATAAGCATGGCACGAGAGTACTAGAAAACTGACCATTTAATGTCACCAATTTGAGACAGACTCTAAACTCCATAGAACAGTATAAGAGAATACTAATTAAGAAAACAGTACTTTAAGATGTTAGAGGAGCAGCTTGGTTAAGCTTAGTCAATAATTGTTTAGTCAAATCGTGAACTTCTCACCTCGGTTAAGGAAGTTGTATCCTACCAACCCACCCATCGAGGTAAACTATCACTAAATATTCAAACAAAAAGCACAACGATCATTAACAGCATCAAGTCAAGGTAAGGGAATCGAGCACGATTAAGCATCGGCCCGTAATAACGAGCAGGAATGAAAAAAGAGATTATCATCCTTGATTGGATTCAAGTAGCTAGTTCAAGAATGATGACTGAAAAAGCCACATTAGCGCAGAGAACCCATAAGAATCCATATGCTACACTACGTAGAAATACTGTAGAAACTTTTGCAACCTATTTCTTACAAGTGGTCAGTCCAAGTAACCCAAACAGCAATGTACATTGAACTGGAAAGTTCATTAATTTTGTTAACAGAATTCTAGACTTTAAAATCCACAGGGCCCCATTTTACACTTGCTAAAAGTGGTAAGAGGCACAAAATCAGAGTCTAGTTGATATTACTATCAACTACAAGTAAAATCCAAACAAATGGCAAGTAACTTAGTATAAACTGTTTCTAGTTCTGTATGCTAGCAACACATGTTTAGGGTAAACCATTTCAAGTTCAGTATGGATACAGAAAAGAGAAGATGCAAATTTTAGGAGAACGAATTGGCCAATCCAAAAGTTAAGCTACATGACCAGACTAAGCTACAGGCATCATCTTGACTCTCACAAGTCATAACTGAATCCATAGAGGGATCTAGACTAGAGTCCATTTGATCCAATCTTGTTCTGATCATTACAATACAACGTAAAAGCCCGGCGAGTGCTTCTTCCAAGAACAATCATCCCAAGTGCAGTTACATATTTCATTAACCAACAACATTCAAATATAAAAGCAACTTACAATGTTTACAAAATTAAAAATTAAAAACCTCATGGACACCATAAAGTAAATGCTAACTATTTGACTCATGCATGAAGGCCTTTCAAGTTTCCAAAGTACCATGATACATTTGGAACCCGGAACTCAGTCAGCAGCATGATTTATGGCAGGAAGATTAGCATGTTATGAAACGATTAACTCTCAATTTCAGCGTAGGAAGTGATTAAACTTCACATTGAAGCTGATCCTTAAGTGCAATGCCAGGAAATTTTGACTTTGGCAATGGCAGCTTTCAAAAGCAAAGTCACCATTAAAAAGAGGCAAATACTAGCCATTTTGATGGAAAAATCCACTATTAGCATGATGGCCTTGCAAATGATATTAGCACTGAAGCGTTGAACTCACAAGTCATAAGTACGACAACTAATTTGCTACTCCAGCGGGATGCTCCATCACATTCTATGAAAGTTGACTGCTAAATCACCCTCCTAACGACAAAAAACCATGAATTGGTTGCTAATACAGGGATGAAAAATGAACAATTGTACACTAAAAGATTGTACAGAGATCAGCGAGGTCAAAAGGAATGAACAATTATACACTGTAAGCTTGTGGTACAACAACAACAAGAGTTGGTCAAAATAATTTGCAATTGACAGGGGTGCAACAACATTCCATAAACAAGGTAGAACACTCTTTACATACCTCTTCCCGAAAGCCCAAAAATTAAAATCCTTTAGGTCCACTTTCCTTCAAAACCACAGGCTGGTCAGCCATGGAGAGACAATACTTTGCAATTTCCCTGAATTTGGGAACACTTCTCAAATCCACTTTAGTGCCATCTTTCAAAGTGATGATAATATCCCCCCACTCCCCGATAAACCTTGGGACAACTTGAACATCCTTGATCACTTTGTAGGAAAAATCACTCCTTTCTTGACCCGTTAACCCGGATATAACCGTGACACGCAAATTGGTAAACCTGTACCTCAAGAAGAATCCCCTCAGAACCGCAGCTAAAGTTAACGGAAGCCAGAATAGGGTGAAACCCAGAAGAAGGTTTGCGACGAGGTCTCCGTAGTGAGCTCCGCCGTCGTAAAAGATTGTTTCTTGGCCGCCTTTGGTGGAGGTGCCGACGCCGGAAGCGGAGGTGGCGGCGGTGGGATTGGAGCTGGATACGTGGAGCCTGGTGATTGGCCTGGAAACGAGTGGTTTCGAAGTTGGTTTGGAGAAGGGGAATTTAGTAATGATGTGGAGTGATGGGTGAAATGTGGAAGCGGCGGCGGGTCCGGTGGTGGTGGTGGGAGATAGAATTGCGGTGGCGGAGGCGGTAGCCATGGTTTAATTTGAACCGGTGGTCGGAAATCAGATAAACGGTTAAGGTAGCTGGGAACTGGATTTTGAGTGGATATAGTAGCCCACGTGGCAAAAAACCAGCCACCGTGTTGAGGACAAAACAACTTCAGTGCTGTGGGTTAAATGATGGTTTGGCATACATATATTTAAAGCCCAATAAATAAATGTGTCTACCCCATTATGGACATTTGCTCAAAACATTTTGGGCCTTTACTACCTTATGGTGAAAAAATTGTCAAGATGATTTTGTTTAAAAGTCTAGAATTTAATAGCACAGTGTTATGGGGTTTGCAGTGAAACTTGGCTTCTGCAGAGTCTTAGAATCAGAACTGTGAGGAGCTTTTCTCGGCCTACAAACAGCCTGGGAGCTGGGATTTCACAACATAATCTTTGAGATGGATAGTTTGAAAGCAGTCCAACTTTTGTCGTGTGATGAGCCTATTACTTGTTAATAGCAATATATTTTGTAGAGTTAGAGGTTTACTAAACCTCCAGTAGAACGTTAATATCATCCTTGTTAGACGTTCACAAGAAGTTGTATCCAGTATACCCGGGGGCACCGTGCCCCCTCCTATTTTTGCATTTTTAGTCCTTATTGTACTTTTTTTTCTCAATCTTTCTATATTTTATAAGTATAGTCCCTGTCATTTTTTCTCTCTCTTCCAAAAAAAAACATCTCCAATCTTTCAATGAGAATATCTCTTAATCCGTAAAGAATTAGAGAACGTGTTATGCATGAAAATTATAGTACTCGTCGAGATCTATTCAACAAAATCCATTTCGAATATTTTTTTTGAGTTTAAAAATGATCAAATTTCTTTGGGCAGAATTAAGTTGGATATCCAGTACAAACAAGTTGGATAATCAGAATGAACACAGTGGATAACCAGTTCAAACAATTTGGATAAACATGTAAATCCGTTGGATAACCAGTATGCACGAGTTGGATAACCAGTATAAACACAGTGGATAACCAGTTCAAACAATTTGGATAACCATGTAAATCCATTGGATAACCAGCATTAGCGCATTGGATAAATCCAGTACAAACCAATGATTGGATAACCAATACAAACGAGTTGGATAACCAACTTAGTTTATTATTTTTTAAAAAAATAATAAAAAGAAAAACCAGATTGGATAAATAATACTAATTAGTTGAATAAACAGTATTAACATAAATAATCAAGTTTGACAATCATTTTCATTAAAAGAGCAAGGAAAAAATACTGGATAACCACCACAAATAAGTTGGATAATCAATATGAACACATTGGATAACCAGTACAAACAAGTTGGATAATCAGAATGAACACAGTGGATAACCGGTTTAAGAAGATGGATAACCAACTTATTTTACATTCATATCGTTGTGTTCCTTGTATCTTTTGATCCGTAAAGAATTATAACACGAATTATATATGAAATTTATAGTGTTCGATGAGATCTATCCGATAAGATCCATGTTGAATAATTTTTTGAACTTTAAATGCATTTAAATTTTACGGGCAGAAATGAAGAAACGTGTTTTTCGTTTTTCTTTGAAAAATGGTTATCTATTGTGTTCATGCTGATTATCCAACCGGTTTGAACTAGTTATCCACTCTTCAAACAAAAAAAAAAAAGAAGAAGATGGATAACCACCTCTATTCTGTCCATCAGAATTAAGTCATTTTTAAGCCCGAAAAAATGTTCACTGTGGATTTCGTTGGATAGATCTCGACGAGTACTATAAATTTCATATATAATTCGTTCACAAATTCTTTACGGATTGGGAGATATGCTCGTTGAAAGATTAGAGTTGGATATGCATACAAACCAAATGGATGGATATCCAGTACAAACAAGTTGGATAATCAGTATGAACACAGTGGATAACCAGTACAAATAATTTGGATAAGCATGTAAGTCCATTGGATAACCAGTATTAGCGCATTGGATAATCAATATGAACACATTGGATATCCAGTTTAAGAAGATGGATAATAAACTTATTTTGAATTAAGAAGTTGGATAACCAAATGGATAAGCAGTAGAAACAAAATGCATAACCAGTTCAAACCGATTGGATAATCAGCATGAACACGATGGATAACCAATTTAGAACAAGTTGGTTATCCATCTTGTAAAACTGGATATCTACCCCTATTCTGTCCATCAGAATTAAGTCATTTTTAAGCCCAAAAAAATATTCCTTATGGATTTTATTGGATAGATCTCGACGAGTACTATAAATTTCATATATAATTCGTTAACAAATTCTTCACGGATTGGGAGATATGCTCGTTGAAAGATTAGAGATGTTTTTTTTGGAAGAGAGAGAAAAAATGACAGAGACTATACTTGTAAAATATAGAAAGATTGATAAAAAGTACAATAAGGACTAAAAATGTAAAAAATATGAGGGGGGCACGGTGCCCCCGGGTATACTGGATAATTTGCCGTTCACAAAACGAGGGGCGAATGATTTGGTAAAATTTGACTTCTCTTGCCCCTTCGAATACCAAATTTTGCCAACACCTCCGTCCAAAATCATAGACAAATTAGCTTCGGATAGAATAGGCACTTCCCTAGCTTAAGGGGATGTTTTGTAAATCAGCCTCAAGATCACCCCAATTATTAAAAAAAAAAAAAAAAGGTCTAAAATTTACTTGTATTCGTATAGCGGATATCACCGAGGCGTTCTACACAATAGTCTTTTGTTAGATACTAGATGATTAGTCAAGCTCATTTAGCTTTCACATTATGTAAAAAAAGAAATTATATGTATCTGAAATGCACAATACGGAAAATATTCACATCATTGATCACTTTTATTTTACTTTACACATTTCGACAAGAGTGATGATAGATGCAGGAAAAATATAACAAGGAAATTGATAGGAAATGAGGTGGTTTAATGTTACTATCCTCTAACCCTTAAATCAGTAAACTCTTAAAAGAAAATTAAAATTTTAGAGGGTCATGATTAATTCTCTATAAAAATTCCCTATACAAATCATTTTCTTTTTGACAAATCATATGAATTGTTCATAACTTGTTAAACCATAAAGAACTTGAGTTAACCCCTATACAATTTTTTTTTTTTTTGAAGGAGGGAAGGGTAGAGAACACAAATCCCATCAAAGTTCGTAAATCTAGGGGCAACCACTTTAGAAGTTACTCCCTCTATTTCAAAATATGTCTTTCTATCTATTTCATGAATATCAATAAAGTACTCCCTCTATTCCAAAATAAGTATCGTTTTAGCAAAATGGAGAAATTTCAAAATAAATGTCGTTTTCGGATTCCTATGCATTTTTTGTCAAAATTTTCCAAACATACCCTCAAAAGAAATACTCCCTCCATTCCAATTCAATGGGCTCACTTCCCTTTTTTGGATATTTCAAAACATAGTCCCACTTCAGACAATTAATTAAGTTTTACTATAAACTCTCTAATATACCCTTTCTATTTTCACTAAAATCAAGAACATTTATTAATTTTAACAATTACTGTCTCATATCAACCAATAACTCACTAGTCATTAATAGGGGTTTAGTAGGAATTTGATTTAAAATTAACCACATAAACTACATTACCTACTTTTTCTTAATCTCTGTGTATATCTAAATGGGTCTATTGAATTGGAATCGGGAGTATATGTTAGTGGGTAGATAGTAATGAGTAATGGATACATTTATTATTTTATATGTGGAACAATTAATTTTTGATGAAATTTGTTACACAATCTTTTATGCAGTAATTATCTCCTGGTACAGATATTGAACTAAATTGTCTTTTTAGTTCGTATAGGATTGTTTGATCTGGAGCTGATATCTCATCTTAAATGTGTTGTACATTATTCATACTGTAGAATCTTCGCATTGATCCTTTTTATTCTTTTGGGCAGTATTCTTCAACAAAAGATGTATAAGGTTTTTCGCTTCCCTTTAAACTATATGATCTTGTCAATCATTCCTTTTTTTCTGCGTCATATTCCCCCTTCCATGGTATGACACCTTTCGCTCATTCATTGCACCCTTTCTCATTATCATCTACCGCCCTTTCCTGCATCCCAAGTCATATAACCCTTATGATCTTACCTGTTTATAGCTTTCGTGTTGTGGCATTATTATCATGAATGAAGAGTTTCATTACTAATAATTACAGTCAGTGTCCTGGGTGTAAAGTTTGAGATTTTTCAGAGTCTTTGTTATTGTATATAGTCTTTTGGTTAAGTTCTCTCTTTAAGCACCAAAAATGTTAGGATGGGCACCTAGCTATTCAAATGCTATTAAATGGTAACAGTAGTCTTTACTCTTAGCAATGATACTTCTTGTCAATTGAACTGCTCTACATCTTCCTTGTGAACTTGGCATATTGTATTTCAAGCTCGTCTTTTTTTGAACATACACAGTCATGGCTTTCATGTTGATAGTAACCTTCTATTTCTCTATCAAAATATATTAAATCAACTATTTTAAATTTTTTACAAGTGCATGTCTTCCGTTCCTGCTTAATACTGTCCAGCCTATCTTCTGCCTACTTCTTTTTCCCTTGGAATCTTCTTAGATTTCTTTTATCAATATGTGATGTATGCATGCCATTAAAGCTTCACTTGCAAACATCATTTTCAGTTTCTAAAACCTGTACACATTCCTCACCTTACTAAAAAGTTGTTTCAACTGGTTTTGCTCCAGTTATATTTCCAACCATTTCTATACTACATTCAAAAGTTTTTCTGAATAATTACATTCCTCACCCTGCATTAAAGTTGATTCTTCTTCTATATGCATTAAAGTTTATTCTTCTACTACATGCATCAAAGTTTTCGGGTTGCCGATGTTTATGTTTTTCAGATTGAAGAGTACTTGAAAAAAACTTTCGAGGCTGATCTCAAAATGTTTGCAGTGGGCATTGAAGTGATGAACATCACGTTACAAAACCGAAGGCTCCTGAAAACCAGAGCCGGCTTTAGGGGCAAGCTGATGAAACTCGGGGTTTACGCCCTAGAAATTGGAGGGCCCAAATTATGAAGTATAATTAATTAAGAAAATTATATATTTGAAAAAAAAAAAAGAGATGGATTTAGAGTCGAACAATTCAAGTTTATCTCAACATTTAATTAGCCACAT